CCCCTGGACTACAATGATCAACATATAACACACACACACACACCACCAGGGGGACGAACAACAGAAACATGGGCAAAGAGAGACAGTGAATGGTGTAAGATATGACATAATAATAATTTATCAGGGTCCATGAGGATGGGAGGGTTTGGGAGGAAGGGGAAAAAGAGGAGCTAATACCAAGGGCTCAAGCTGAAAAAAAAATGTTTTGAAAATGATGAGGGCAACAAATGTACAAATGCATTTGATACAAATGATGCATGGATTGTTTTTTGAGATGTAAGAACCCCCAATAAAATGATATATTAAAAAATTAACATCTAGCATAAAAAAAATGAGATCAGAGGAAATGTTTACAACAAAGATATAATAAAGTTAACACTGTAAGAACAGAATAATTTTAACCATAGTTTTAAATGTATGTATATGTAGAAAAAGGAGGGTAAAAATAAAAAATCTACAAACTTATAGTATTTGTTGAGTGGTGGTTTTGGTGGATGGGTTATTCCTGTTCTGTTTTTCAAATGATCAAGAACTGTATGTTTCAATAATGAGGAAAATATAACTAATAACAAAAAATAAACTAAGGATTGTTAAGCTACTTTAATGTGTTCATGAAGTTTAGCCACAAATTTTCAAGAAGTGCAGAACAGAGTCCCAAAAGTCCTGACAAAGAAATCTATACAAATACTTTTATTGTGTTTGAAACGTATACATTCCAGTACACAAGAGGGTGGGTACGTTGATCAAGTCCAGTAGAGGAAGGGTTACAAAGGATACATAAGAAATGTCCACACAGAAAACATGATGGGACTAACATCCTTTCTTAAAAAATAAGCACATTCCACACAGAGGAGAGAGCTGTGACAAAGTCCGTCAGCACAGGGACCGCCAGCTCGGAGGCCCGGCAGTGAGCGAGAGCAGTCGGGCAGCCCGAGGCAGATGCTCACTGGAGCCGCATGCGCTTCTCAGGGGGAGCTTTTGTGCTCACCGCTGGCTGCACGTTCTTCGTAGTCTCTTTCTCCTCAGACTTCCCAGCTTCCGGGGTCGGTTCTGCCTCTTTCTTTGTCTGATCCACTGGACAGCAAAAGCAGAATGTTTTGGTGAGGGAATGAGGATCGAGGGGATGGATAGTTAGGTAGCAGTTCATCTGATGGTTTAGATTCTTTCAGATTAAGTTTTAATTACTTATTTTAACTTCTAAGTTCAGCTGTTTCACCAAGGACATGTATTTAGAATCCATTCACAAACATAAAAAAACTGCTAACTCAAGGTACTTTGTAAAACCAGACAAAGTTATAAGGCATTAAATAAAGCATTATGTGTACATGAAATATATGATCAACCGATCCCAGCTTGCTGGACAGTTTAATTCTTGTTTTCAGGAGTGAAACAGAACACACTTTTCATACTGAGACAGGAATGAAAAAAACCTCAAGTCCCTTTGGCATCTACGAACTTCAATACGCTCTTCCCGCTCCCATTCATCAGCACCACTGGCCGCCAGAGCACCACCTTATCTCAAAGTTAGGCAAGAAAGATAAACTACAATAAAAGAATCTAAGAGGATAAATAAGCACCGCTCATCTGAGCCTTAGTACTATGCCAAGTTTAATAAGAACATTAGGTGAATCATACCTGGGACAGGCTTTTCTCCAGACTTTTGCTGTAATTGAAAGATATAATAGGAAGAATAAAAATTACGAAATGATAGTTTTACTTTTTTGTGGTTTATGAGCACTAGGTCCTCTTTATGAAGTCATTTATAACAATTTGAATAAAGTTACAGTTTTAATAAGAATGATAAAATCAAGGAGGGAAAACTTTACTAAACTGTTCATTTTGTTCTTTCTGTATTTCAAAGTAGACGCAAATCTAAAACTAGAACAGGACATTCAGCTACAAAAGCCCATTACCTTCCACTCTCCGTCAAGAATGCTTTACCAAAAACCTATGAGAAAGAACAGTGGAGCCTCAGGACTCCCGAGGAAATCTGCTCAGAGGTTATGAGCTATAAGAAAGGAGAATTAAGTTTTGAGGAAATCTCTTGAAGTTTACAATTGGCAAGACGGCAAACTGCATGGAAGTAAAGATGACGTGGGTTATTTTCCTATGAGCATAATATGCCTTCTGATGATTGTACTATGGAAAAAAACCCGATGGTGTGGAGAGGTGAGGGACCAGGACTAATCCTTCTGTTAGATACAGCAATTCCTTTACTTCGCTGGGCCCAGCAACTTCCCTTCCCCATTACCTACCCCACCTTCACTCTTCACCGATGATCCTGCCTTCAGTGTTAGAAAAGTATATTTTAAAAAAGATGTCCACACTTTGAACTCCTTTACTAACTTTAAATACTGCCCTGTCCCTTCAGAGGAAAGAAGTGATATATTCATTCCCATAGGTAATGCTTTCATTGTTTTCTGAATTTCTAAATTTGTATGCACTCCTTAAACTCTCTTGCATATTCCCAGGACTACAGACGACAAAATTTTCTGACACACATGTTCCAGGTCATGCTGCCAAGCGCCAGCTAGGTTACTCTAACTGTAAATCCTGGGAACCTCCCAAACACTGAATAAGACCCAAACAGAACTCCGACTTACCAAAGCTCCAACCAACGATGGCCTAAGGTTTTTATCCTTAGGTGATGCACGCTTTCCAGGTTGGCCCTTCGTTGATGTCTAGGGGATTAGATTTCAAGTGGGTCCTCCCCATTCCCTAATGAGATGTAGCTGTACCTGGACAGTTTACCTCAAGTATCTGCTTTCCTTTGGGAAATAAGAAGTTCTAGTGACAGGTTAGGGAGAGCATCCCTCTGCGACAACTGCTCCCCTCCAAAATGAACACAGAAAACCCTGCTGTCCAGCTCGTAGTGGACTTCTGGCAGGACAAGCACACACGGTGTGGCTTCATGGTCACCACTTGCGGTGAGTACACTCTGAGTGACGCCTGGTAAGACGAGCACATAAGGAAGCTGACACATGGATGCCTTCGGACTCTGCCTATGTCGTTCCGCCTTCTGACCTACTAGTTTTTCTTACTATGTTACTGTTATAAATTTTAGTCATGAGTCCAACTCTGTCTTCAGAAGGGAGAAGAGGAGACCTATCAAGATATGCAAAATTCTTTTTATCTAAATTCATCCTTAAAGATCCCTTAAAACAAAACAGTATCTATAAGTGCACATGGCACAGTGCTTAAGTATTTGGCTGCTAACCGTCAGGTCAGCAGTCCAAAAACACCACCTGCTCTGAGAAGAAAGACAGGGCTTTCTACTCCTATAAAGACTTGCAGTCTTGGAAACCCACAGGAGTCTGCAATGCCCAGTAAGTCCTCTATCAGTCAGAACTGACATGATGGCAGTGAGTTTAAGTATGATTATGTATGTACACAATACTGTACAAGTTCATAAGAATGGAAACATAATCTATTCACATATTCTAACCCATAGCTACTAATTTCAAAAATTCATTAGTGGACTGATAGATGCTTTTGCTATTATTACTTGACATCTCCCCCAAAAGAACATTCTAAAATTTATATAACTTAAATACCCATAACACGCTATTCCTAATTCCTCCATTTATTATGCCATATCCTCTATTTCAAATAGTCTATTCTTGTTAGTCACCGCAATTTTAAACAGTCCTATCACTTAACGAGATCTACTACATTAGCTAAGCACGTCCTATAAAAAGAGCAGGAAGTCTCGGATTGGCGCGTTAGCGAGCTTTTGCAGGAGAGCACTATCTACTGTACAGTCCCCACAGGACAGTTGTGAAGCGTCAGTGAGGACACGAGAGAACAGAGCAGGGCTCCCGTTGACGGTCTCCTTCTCCACGTCTGCTGCCGAGCTCTTGACTTCAGCTACTGAAGAGCGTCAATGTTCCGGCCACACTTGAAATATTCCCAGTTAAAAAATGAGTAAACATGTTGCCATAAAGTGTGAAGTAAATTAAGAAAATAAGCCTTAAGTGGAAAGGAATATGTTTTGAGAATGATGAGGGCAATGTATGTACAAATGTGTTTTACACAATTGATGTATGGATGGATTGTGATAAGAGTTGTATGAGCCCCTAATAAAATGATTAAAAAAAGAAAAGAAGCACACATTCTCATTACCTGCACAAATCTAGGTGGAAATTTTTGTCTAAGGTCTAAGAGCAGAGCATCCACACGTTGTCTCTGGAAAATTGAGCTGGGCTCTTCTTTTCTTTTGGCTTTAGGTCTGACTTTATCTGTTAAAACATGAAGTTCAAATCAAAGCATTTCATGCTGAGTGAGTATAGTCTTGTTCCAACTCGCCATCTTAAATAAACTTAACATTCTAGTATTTAATATATTTACATATGTTTTTGAAGATACTTTTCTTTTACTATGTAAACATGGATAGATACTTCACAGCTGAAGTTTCTCATAATCACCTAAATCACAATTCAGATGACTGGTTTAAATTTAACTTTCATATAAAGTAGAGCATAAATTATATTTTCTCCGAATCCTACTCATACAAATAGAAAATGCAAGCTTTGCCAGCTCAAGATACCACAATCTATTAGGACTGCACTTCACTGGGGAACAACACCAGAGACCATGAAGACAAAACAGAACAGAACATGAAAGAGAAACGTGGGAAATAATCGCATGCGATTTGCCTGAAGAAAAGGGTATAGGAGAGCCCGTCTCCATGAGTAAATAAAGGGATACAAATAAAATTTACTTGAAATATTTCATTAGGATAAGGGCAAACAGGTTTTGGGCCAGTTTAATTCAACTGAAGCAAACTTTCCATATCAAATTGTACTGGTTATCATTAAGAATAAAAGTTCACTGGTCTGAATCCTATGCAAGGTTACCTTGCCCTCCAGGAATTTACTCTGATTGGCAATTTCTCACATAAAGAAATCCTACCGCTGGCGTTTCTGCAAGTAGTTTTCCTGGTAAAGTATGATGAACAAGCAGCAGAATAGCATGAATGGAAACGAAGGCACCTGAAGAAAACAGACAGGTCGCCTGGTGACAAGCCTCTAACAGCAAGACGCCGCGTTTGAAGAATAGAAGGACAGAGGATTCCACGTTCCAAGATGACGCAACGTCATCAAATGACTTCATGTCATCAATGTGACGTCTTTGGTTTTTAATTTTTTTACAGAGGTCCACTGCAGCACATGTTCCCAATGCAATATGCCATTTGATTTGTTGATCACTGCTTCCATGGGCAATGATTATGGATCTGAGTAGAACGAAATCCTTGACAAAGATGACCAACTATCTTACACAGCAAACCTTTTACATGGTCCTATGTTGATTATCCAGCTAGTTAGAGGACTTGCAACTATGGCAAGGTCATCTAGAGAGTCTTCTGATGGAGAGGTAAAACACATCTAGGCAACGCAATAGCTGGTTTTCTGAACAAAAGTTTCCTTCTCAGAGGATCAAAAAGTATTCCTAAGTGCGATGTAGCAACGATGAAAAATACAACTTTCCTCTAGTTCCTAAATGTTCCTCTGCCCCCCACTATCATGATCCCAATTCTACCTTACAAGTCTGGCTACACCAGAGGGTGTACACTGTTACAGATAGGAACTGGAAACACAGGGAATCCAGGGTGGATGAAGCACACCAGCCTGTGTGATCACGAGCTACCAAAGGGATCAGTTATCGTGTGATCACGAGCTACCAAAGGGATCAGTTATCAGGCATCAAAGAACAAAAAATCATATCATTGTGTGCTCACCTCCATGATACAATCACTGAAGACAAA